CTCTCTGCCAATTCAGCCTCTACTCTGGAATGCCGGCGGGGACAGGTGGTGCGGGCGGGCGCTTCTCGCTCTGGTTGCAGTGGCGGCCAGAGCACTGGGGCTGCACACGCAGGCAGTGCCATTCCCCCCTTCAGGCAACTCAGGGTACTAAGGATCAGTAGCGAGCTTGAATTTATGTAATACTGCCTCACGCCTAAGAGCTGGAGCCACTTCACAAGCAGAGGACCTGGGTTTCCTCTTGTCTTGAGTAAGGGCGATCATTACAGTGAGCGCATCACTCCACTTTGGCTCGTTATTTCAAAGTCCCCTAAAATAGCAAAGGCGCAAATTGGATCCTTTCCCTCTCTCTTTGCCAATTTCCTTTCTACAACGGAAGCAGGGGCATTTTCTGAAAAGGTAAGTCAACATGAAGGAGAATCATGACCAAAAAACATTACAGAATGGAAATGTGAAATTTTTCAGAGCAGAGACAAACCACTCTCTTCCTGCTGAATCCCCAGCATCAAGCCCCGTGCCTACAGGAAGGCTTCACTTATATAAGGTTTATTGAAGGAAAGATACATGACTAAATACTACATCAGAGTGGGGACATCTAATCATATATGATGTGACAAATGAGGAAACTGAGACCTAGAGAGAGGAAGAAATGTGCCCAGGGTCACAGGACAGAGCCCCAGGGTTTGAAACAAAGAAATTAGAAACCTGTCAACCCAGCCCTCTAATAGGTACATCCTCAAGCCCAGGTGTCCAAAAGGCTCTTTTCACCCACAGGACAAGCAATGTAAGGATTAGCAAGGAAAGAAGAGATGTTCCCAGAACTAGATCCTCAGGACTCAGACTATCCCCACATGATTGATCAGGTGGAGCTTGCTGTATATAGGGAACTGGTGTTTCTGTGAATGAATGCCCACTCTATTCAGTCCCACTGCTGCAGAAGTGGCACGGGTGGCAGCAGTGTTTCAGAACAATGCTGTTGGGGCTGGGGGTGGTGGTCAGTCATCCGAGTCCTGGGGTGGGAGCAAGTCCCTTCAGAGACAGGCTCTCTCTCCCTGTATCTCCCTAGAAACATTTGGCTCCTCGCTGAGCTCTGCTCCATCCCTCCTGTTCTCTCTGTGTAATGAAGCAGCAAGCACTGGTCCTGAAAAGATGTCACTTCCTGGCTGGGCAGCCCTGGAATAACCATTTGCCCTTCCTGAGCCTCAGTTTCCTCTTCTGGAAAATAGAATCAATTCCTCCTTTTGTACCATCTGGGTCACTGTGACGATTACCTTTGGACCATTCCAATGTGAGGCTATGTTTATGTGATGCTCTAAGCTCAAATGTGCCCCACAGAGTCATAAGCCAATTAAGGCAGGGGCCCTTCTTGGACAACTTTATGGCTGTGCCCCCCCGCCCCACCTTTAGCTGCCTTCAGATCTTCCCAGTCCTTTCATGTGCCCCCAAACCTACTGGGAACAGTGATGATCCCTTTGTCCACCTGTAGCATAAAGCTTGGGAATCCTGCATTTCAGGTGGTTCACCTATCCCCAGGTTCCAGAGAGACACTCTGACTGTTGAACTCATATTAAGGAGCCAGGTGCAGCAACTTGGCTTCCCAGAGAGCTCCCCTGATTCCCCAGGTTGTAGGACATGCCTATTCCCCCTAAGGGCCAGTGAGGGTAAGAGTCAGGGAAGTGAGAAGCTATGGGAGCTCTGCTTGCTAACTGTCCCCACCTTCTCTTTGACCAACCACACAGTCAACCTCTTTAGTCCATCCAGTAAGTGGCTCTCATCATGGTGTCATATGGGGACCCCTCTGCCATTACACCATTCTAATGGCATTCAGTGGGGTCCCTAGGAAAACACTTCTGAAACAGGTGGGTGATGCATTCATGTCCCTAGCAACTACCTCTGGAGATTCTACTCTAAGAGAGATTTGTGGTATTAGAACATGGGAAATGCCTTGGGTGGAGGTGAGGGTGAGGGGGTGGTAGCCAGTATGAGAAAAAAATCCGGATTTACTCATTTAGATGGTAAAAGGAGCACAGACACACACACTTACAGTCGGACTCTCAGAGAAAAGGGCAGCCAGGTTGGTAGTTGCAGGGCAAAGAAGGGACAAAATCGGGGTGTCCCGTTTCTGCTATCTACTATGTCACTAACATTCTAGTGTGAATGTATACAGCAGCTCACTGGAGCATATTTGTGTTTTCAAGCCTTTCTCCATGCTCTGAGGAAAACAAAGAAATGCTTCTCTCATTGTAGATTTCATATATCAGGGCTCCTAAAAGGAGAAGAAAATTGTCTTTGGGGGCAACAGGGATCCCACAAGTCTCAGAGGACCCCTCCTGGGGTAAAGAGGCATCCTGCTAAGAAGAGGGAATTCTTCCTGTGTATGTCCCCAAAACTGTGTTTTCCTTAGGCCAGGTTAAGCCTTGGCAGGAAGTTCCAATGCTTCTTGCAGCCCTGGGCTGCTTCCTTTCAGGAACTGAATAACAAAGGTCCTGATACGCAGAAATCAGCCCTATGTTGAAGATTAGGGTGGGATGCAAAAGAAAAGAATCGCCCAAACTGTCAGGACTTTGGTTTTCCAACTCCTTATTTCTTAGACCCACCTGAGTTGTTGTTGTGTGTGTGTATAGGGTGTCCAAAAATGTATACACACATTTTGAATAATTATAAAATTATTGCTTATTAAAATACATTTCATTTTCAAAATTGGGCTATCAGCTGTTAAAGTGTGTATACAATTTGGGGGGGGGACTGTATATATGGAATTCAGAACTTGAAAGATGAGAACTCTGCAGTCTGACCAGGGCTTCTGGTTGTCTCCACAAAAGGTTGATGATTCTGGGAGTGAGGGTAAAGGTCAGCTTGCCTTGCATACTAAGCAGTGTACTTCCAGACATTTATTTGGTTGCTGTAATCTGCAAAGACAGCAGGAGGTATTTGAAAGAGCACAGGCCTGGGAATCCAGAGGCCTGGGTTCTTGTCTTGACTCCGCCACTAATGAGACCCTGTATGACTATGAAGAAGCCACTTGCTTGCTCTTGGGCTCAGCTTCCCTATTTGTCAGAAGGCAAAATAAATATCGTGATTCGTAGGGCACTTTCTGGCTCTAACATTCAAGGCCACATCCATTCTTGTCCTCCTCAAGGGCCAAAGGGCTGCCAAACTCTGAGTTTCATCTCCAGGGAAAGCGTAGGCCTAGTCCTCAACAGTTTCTGTGACATTTTGTTGGGTCCCACCAGGCAATCAACAGCTGAACTTATTCTGGACCTTTGTAAAAGGGCTGTCATCAGGGTCACTGTTCAAAGAGGAAGAGAAACAGTGAAAACTTAATGTCAAAGAAAGTGTTAGCACTCTTTGGAGTTTAGCATAAAACACTGATGAAATATGGATTCCCCCTTATCCTGAGCACTATGCTCAACCCTGTCTTTCCAGCTGTCACTAATTTTTAAATAATGTTTATACTATCAATAATAGGCGATTTTTGTCACAAAACTGGAAGGTATGCAAAGTATTGAGTCAATTTTTTTCTGTTTTTATGAGTCTATCCAAATTGAATGAGCAACAGTACTTAATGAAAACACTGTTCTGAAATTCATGTTTTAACATTGCAGACAGGTTGGGTGTGATATATATATCACTTTATACAGTTATCTATACTCCTCCCAGAAAACACTGTGTTTTATTTGTTTAGCTTTACAAAACATGGGACTTGAGGAATTAAAAGAGGAGGTGATGTGTATGCTAAATGATTGTTGCAAAGGCAAGGTAAAAGCTAGAATGGGGTCACAGAAGACCCTGAGCATGCAGACCAATGACAATCCTTCTCCTGATGCGAAATTCCAACCATTTCATGGACAGTGGAACTTTCTTATTTATTGTAGAGAGTATTACAGATGTCCCCCTTTTTTCTCCCCTTTGCTTGGCACCACCCATTTCCCAAACTACCCCAGGCCTTCACCACTCTATTGTCTTGTGTTCATGGGCAATGAATATATGCATATAAATTATTTGGTTAATTGTGGGGAGCCGCTATAGGGTTAAACCTCGGACTGACCTGTTGGCAAAGTCACAAACAAGTCCCAGCTTAGAGGCCACAGTCCTCTTAAGCATAACTAGGCTTGACCTTATAACGCTCCCTAGATCTTACCTGGGAAGCTAATGGGCTGAGGGAAGTGCAACAAGAACAAAAACAAGTGAAACTCACAAGAACAGTGTAAACAAGTGAAACTCACAAGAACAGTGTAACTTTGGTAACCACTACCTTGTTTACCTCTGACTATAAAAATAAAGGCTCAGTTTGCCTCGGGATCTTTTTCTGTGGCCTCAGCCAGGCACAGGAAGATCCACGGAGACTAAAGAGAGCTAGAGAGTTCTGAATGCTGTTTCCATGTAAAACATTCTTCCCAGACTCCGTCCACACCTTTGGGAACCCCTGGCCCCCCGGGGCTGGACCCCCAGCAGTTAATATCTTCCCATCCCTTCCCCCTTTCCTCTGATATTCTGGCAGTGAATGGAAGAGTCAGGGGTTTTAAAGCTATGGTAACACAAGGCCTGGACCATTGGCAGTAGGACACTCTGCTCCGCTGAGTCACTTCACTTCTTTGGGCCTTGGTTTCTGCTCTATAAAATAGCCTGACTAGATACCTTCAAAAAGCTAGTTTAGTAGTAGGGTAAAGAGGATCCAATCTCAAATGAGCCTCTTTTTTTAAAGGAGAGACCATAAGCTTGGAGAGCCCATCACCTTGGAATTTAGTCAGCACTCACTTAG